CTAACAGAGCATAAATACAATATTGGGGCATATGTAATAATCATAGTGTTCACTTACCTAATCCAGCTGATATCAACTGATCGTCTTTGGAATTAGCAATTAGACCAATAACACCTTTATAACCATGGGCCTGCATTGAACAATAAATATGGTATGATATTACTGATAGTTAATAACTGCTACATAAGTTACAATAATTAACTTTGGAATAAAAATCTTGAGGAAGGTAATAATAAAAAAAAAATTCTGGGTTCTGTAGAATTGGTTTGGCAGCCATATGGTTTACAGTACTACCCGTAGTATAAGTTTTTTTTAAGTTGAATGTGAAAATTGAAAATTCATCATTATATATCACCCAATCTCACCTCTATTTTATACGCAACTTTCATAGTTTTCCAATGTAGTACCGCTATATATCCATCTTTTCGCCCACCAATCACCAGCGTCCGGTCCGATCCTCTTAGTTGCGGTTTACCGGATGAACTAATGGCCGCTTTACTGCTCCTCATCAATCCTTTCCACACATCCTCAGACATAGTGCTTTCTACTATGTATTCATACAGACACAGACAGTTCATATGTTTCTTTTCTATTACGAAGAGAGAAAAAGTTTTTTTTTTCAGTCAACAATGGGACGATATACTGTTAAGTGCTCTAATTTCGCTAGAGACAAATTTGTCAATCAGTTAAAATGTTACCTCCAGTATATTTTGTAGCAATGAGTGTCTTTACGAATAACGAAAATCATGAAAATTAAATGCTTTCCAATACATTTGTTTGCACATTCACAGTGACAGGTTGGTAAGAAGCTGTAGAACAGCATTATTCATGGCTACTGGTATAATACACATTGTATGTACTCTGGTTATAATGACAAGCTGCATCTGTTTCATGCATTTGTTGTCAAACACACACAAATCTGGAAGGCAAAATGTGAACACCCCAATACCCAGACCAGAAATATCGTTAAAGAATTTCAATTTTTGTTATATAAAAATACTAGAATTGCATTCAGCAGTAATCTGAATCACCACAAAGTGCTGGCCCATTCATTGTATGATTCTTACCATCTTTCTCACTGCCTTTCCATGTGTGTTGGATGGTACAAGGATTAGTTTTAGCACTAGCCCTCACCATATCACCATTCTTCAGGGCAGCAAACACCGTATCTGGATTCAAATGAAAGTGAATAGTTATTGGCTACATGCACATATTCAAAAAAATATCAATACTGATTTTACGAGAATAGCGCAACATATGCACAAAGGCAGTACAGTGTGTTAATCAACCACCATGTAGTCAAGGTCAATGCGTTCCTGTACTGCCAGAATATTATTATACATCTTTTCCTGCTTATACGGTAAAATCTTTATTAGAAGTCGCATCCCATTCATACTCATTCTTTTTGAACAAATGACAACCAAAAAATGACAATTTTCTTATATGTGTGGATGTTCTAATAGAAACCGCATCCCAAACTGAGGCTTCTAATACAGATTTTGCAGTAGTAATATTTTAATGAAAGATAACAGCTTGAAATGACAATGAATGTTTCGCACTGTGTGAACATTTGCATTTAGTGACTGGATTCTATTTTTGTCACATGCTAGCACCTGATGTAAACAAAGAAAGGAGTTCGAATTCAAATTTTTAACGTGTCAACATTGGTGGTGTAGTTTGCTACAAGTAAGGGAAAATTTGAAAGTTTGAATGATGCACATATTTTGGAATGAATATAGTTACAGCTTTTTATGAAATTGTAAATTCTATTTTTTCGATGCTAGATGTATACATGTAGTTATACATGTAATCTCTGGTAATAGCCGTGAATGACCTCAGTATCATATGCGCAATTTTACAGCAAGTAAATTTATAAACCATCCACACTGAATCAAAATACATGTAGATATTAAAACTAGAGAATGTAAAATATTTGGTAATTTCTCATAGTAATACGTAAATTAGAATATTAAATTTTTAAAATGTTCACAATAGAAAATGGAATAGCCCAAGACACATTCATAGCACGTTCGCTCACTTCAATTTTAAGAATCTGTTTTTGTTGATCGTTGTTTCTGTTGTCAATATCCACAATGCTCACATGCATTATTACAAAGTGATTTGGTGTATCACTTGGTGTATCACTCTGTGCCAATAAATAACATCAGATAAAACGATATTGCCTGGTTTGGATTGAATAATGCGGATTATTACCGCAGCTTAAACAATAGGACCACACAGATATTACAGGAGGAATACGTCATTTCAAATTCAATAATGTTAAGTTAAAATCCATGTCATGTATAACATATGGATAGAAGTGGGTTAGGTTCGCAATGTGTCAACATGATGATGACACACTTGATAAACTCACAAGGGAAGAAACAAATCTTCCATTACAGCAGATCAAAACTCAATTGTATCTACTGATTTAGAATGCTATGGATGAAATACAAAGAAACTTCATTACACAATAAAAATTAATACAATAACGACTGTAAATTCTACAGTCCCACTGTGTGTTGTTCTTATATCTTGTAATCATTCCTACCTTCTGCCTGTGCGTATATGGCATCTTTGATTCCAATTCTTGGGTTGATAATCAATGAGGTGATAACATTACCGTTGGCAGGTGATATGATTCGTGCTGTAGCATCTCGACTAATTAACAAAGCACGTGGTGGGAACTAAAAATAAAATAAAGTATGATTTAATGCATTATAGGAGTGAAGTATTGGATGACAGGACACACTGTACTAGTACTAGTAGCCACTGTTAACAAATAGTTGTAAAATGATTTACTTGGGGCTTTTTGTTCCCTAATGTTTTTTCTGTTTTCACTGAATCATGATCAAGTTCAGTACTGGCTGCAAAATTAGAATAACTGAGATGTTTCTCAAACTCGAACCTACACATGTATATTATAATTTCTAAATTATGTGTGAAGTGTTTTATACCCGGTATATATAAACAGACTTCGCTGCGTTGACTGTTGTGTTCTTTCCATATATGTAAATAGCCAGCAGGCTAGTAGGGTGGGGAAAAGGTACATGAGATATAATTGCAGGTGTATGAAGCCAAAACACGAATCTGGTAACTAGACAGTCGGGGTGATCATTATCAATGTATAGAAAGATGGATAACAGATATAATACTTTTTGGTTTGTGTCTATTGTTTTCATTCAGCGTTCACTAGGAAAGTACTCTTCTTTTTGTTCTAAACAGGACCCATTTACTAGTTTCTTTGTTCTCAACAACACCCGTTTAAGTAGGACTGTTTTTCAGAATGATCTTGTTCTCACATGATCCAAGTGGAGAGTACAACTTTTCCATCACTATTAAAAAATTGATTGATCGACGATCTGGGTGGATGCATGGTCATTCTACTGAATAAGCCGGTGGTTTTGTGGCTGAATGCAACACTATGATTTGTACATGAATCAGGTGCAATTTCTACAGGACATTGGCACATTGTCCTATACAAAAGAAGTAGCGTAACACAAGTACACAGTGATAAGGCGCAACCTGCGATGTGGTCACTTAATACTTCGTTAAAGTATGGCAACTCAGACGATATAAATGGCAGTTTACCGTTTAATCCTTGTAGCTGTCTTTTAACTATTAATAAAAAATAATCATTACGTTTGTTGATATAAAATAAAAAATAATGTGAAAATAGACATCATACCTCATACTCTGGTCTTTCAGTTAGTTTAATTCTATCCACCTTATGTCTATAAAAAATGAAAACAAGATAATCTCACAAAAAAAAACACATCATGGTCAATATTTGTCCACTGTCTCAGTAAATTGTCTTACTGTCTACAAAAGTAGATAATGTTGTGTGCGATGAGTTATAAGCTAAAGATTATTGCTATCACAATATTTTTCATCTTCATACCACAACCATAGCAGTTTATATGGTTGTTGTTGCCATGGCAATTGTTATTATTGGATTACAAATATCAGAGATACATTTCAAGTATCAAAGCAATCAGACTGTTAGTTTTCAGGAAGCAGTAAATATGATAAAATGATAACAATATATTTGCTAAAAACGAAAAATTTATATAAAAATACCAGTATCATCACAAAATACTAAGTATCAAAGAACATAGCAAGTATAAAAGCGTGTAAATGTCTAGAAAACGTTGATAATATAATTTTTTACCAAAAATGACAAAATTTGACAAACGCAAAATTAAAGTATTTTAAGGGGATACTTCCACGCTTAATAATGTGCTCTATGTATTTGATGATGGTCAATTTAGACGAAGTAATGGTATTGAAATGCAATATTTGCCTGTCAAAAATTGGCTTTCCGACTTTGAGATATGAAAAAAGAAATTTCAGTTCAAAATCAAATTGTTCAATTTTTGTTGCAGATGTTCAATCCGCGTCTTTCACGCAATACACGAGATCTCACAGTTGAACGGAAAGTCACCTATTGATGTTACTGCTTATAGAACCTGAGAAAACTGTCACTGTTACAAAATATCAGCAATTTCTGAAAGTTGCGAAAATCTATGGAAATCTCTCATTGAGCTAAAGTAGTCAAATAAGTACTGAATCATGAGAAGGAGATGTACATTCATTGATTGACAAATGAAGTTTATAATCTATTAAGTTACAATTCAGATGTATGTATACTACCTACCCTACAGCAGTATGCATTGTGTGTATATCTCGTATTCTCCACAGATCTACAGCGAATGTAGAGAAACTATGTACATTATCTGCTTGTAAGACAGTACCTAAGCCATCTATCGGCTCATCTGCTTCTATCCTAAAATAATACAAAGAATACTTGTTATAGACTAACAGTAGTAATACTCATCGGTCAAGATAAAAAATGTACATGTAGTGTCAACTGTGTATACCAGTATCATGTATTTAATAGTGTACTGTAAAATATTTTATTTTCAATCGGAAATTATATATATAATATAAAATTACGTACAAAACACCCAAAGCCTTTTCAGTGAAAATTAATTCCGGCTAAAATAAAGTATTTTATCTTTTTCACCACCAGTTCTCTCTTTTCATCACAAATTCACAAAATAGTCCTGTTCATAGTCTGCATTTTCCTTCAGAAGATTGGGGCAACTATAGCCAAAATTTTTGAGTACAAACTAAAAAGGAAGTAATAGAGGACTATTTTCACCTCTTCTGGGATTGTGTTTTTATTTCAAAATTCTGGTCATGCGCATTACAGTGGTATCATACTATAACAAATTCCAACATATCATTGAATGCAATGAAATGTATCCTTGGTGATGTCGAAAACCATGCCAATATATTAGTTAATGCATTTCTCCTGATGGGTCGATACTACATCTATCGTTGTAAAATATTGGGAAATAGTATCAACATGAATTGTTTCAGTGAAAACAAAAAAAAATTGAGCAGTGGGTGCCCTGAAGACTCACAGAGACTTTCAAAAATGATTGTCCTCTCTAGCAGCGCCAACAAATTGTGACAAAAATTAAGTGGTTTGCATTATGTTTATCATCAGCACAAAATTTACATGTAAAACAAGTCATGCATGGCACAGTCCCTGTTAGTTATCGAATTTAAGATATATAGTTTTTGCTTATAGTAATATAGCGGGAATATAACCATGTCAGGAATATGATTATGATGATTGTTTATAATTACAAGCCATGCATGGCACAGTCCCCGTTAGTTATCGAATTTAAGATATATAGTTTTTGCTTATAGTAATATAGCGGGAATATAACCGTGTCAGGAATATGATTATGATGATTGTTTATAATTACAAGCCATGCATGGCACAGTCCCCGTTAGTTATCGAATTTAAGATATATAGTTTTTGCTTATAGTAATTTAGCGGGAATATAATCATGTCAGGAATATGATTATGATGATTGTTTATAATTACAAGCCATGCATGGCACAGTCCCCGTTAGTTATCGAATTTAAGATATATAGTTTTTGCTTATATTAATATAGCGGGAATATAACCATGTCAGGAATATGATTATGATGATTGTTTATAATTACAAGTCATGCATGGCACAGTCCCCGTTAGTTATCGAATTTAAGATATATAGTTTTTGCTTATAGTAATATAGCGGGAATATAACCATGTCAGGAATATGATTATGATGATTGTTTATAATTACAAGCCATGCATGGCACAGTTCCCGTTAGTTATCGAATTTAAGATATATAGTTTTTGCTTATAGTAATTTAGCGGGAATATAATCATGTCAGGAATATGATTATGATGATTGTTTATATCTA